GGCACAATCTTATGAGTTACTAACTTTAAAAACCATATTTTATATAATAAGAAGATGGTCTAACTAAAAAATATACTGCAGGGTTCTTGATACTCAATACTATAATTCTCATTATTTATGTATTTTAGTTTAATATTGATTTGTTTTTCTCTTATGATATTATTAGATTGAATATTCCATATGAAACTGTTCCATATCTAACCGAAGGCCAAAATACTACTCCAACGAGAAACAAACATGGTTCTCTCTTCAATAGATCAGTAAAACACAAGATCCACAACGAAAACAAAGTAAAACTCAAAGACATGAACATTTGACCACAATCAGATTAATTATGAATAGTTTACCACATACCACAAGACTCATTAATCACTTCACATACATTGCAACATTTCTTACGGAACCACTTGGCACTTTTAAGACAATAATGTTGGATCATATTCCAGCCGAGCATTCTGGAGGTGGAACAGGAAAACGAGATTTGTCGGTACAATAATCGTAGACCATATGGTTCACTCGGACCCATCTATAACTTCGAGCTTCCACCGGACTCAACTGGTGGTACGCACTTCCTTCCCACCAATTCTTCGGATTACTAGGACAATACGTCGGTCCCGGAACCGGACATCCTTCTATATCAAAATCTTTGTAGTAAGCATAAAATGGCGCTCCCGACCAATTGATTTTCTCTATTCCTCCACGTGTCGCCCAATCGTCGGCTTCCCATAACGTGGAATATATACCCATTGGTTGGAATCTTGGGTATGGTACTTTCCTTGCCTCATTGTTCTTGTAAACCCTAATGGGCACATTGTCTACGTAGAACCTACACACCACACATATTTAGACGATTAGAAAATGGATATTAATTCTACATATATTATTACAAATAGAACCGTATCTTTGATCATTATATTTGTCTTTTTTTCTTACAAATTAACTATGGCTAATAGATTATAAAAAATATGGGACCTTACAAGTTCAAATTATGAATGCCTCCAAAACAAATATATATGCTGTCTCTTTCATTCTCTTAATACATGGCCCGTGGGCCGACAAAATATGAAAGCCAATCATGTCTCTCGTGACAATATCAAAAGACAAGAATAGTTAAACGAATCTTATAGTACAAAATTATTGTTTATTTTGTCACTACTGATCAACTATATCTTACATTATTCCTTTTAATAATTAGACAGAGAATGTAAAGAATAATTGTATGTAGATATATTTATATATATATACAAAATCATTTGGCTTACACGATACGGAGATGGTTCCATGAGATGGCGTATTCGTGGAAATCACGAGAAGGGTCGAACCAAAGGTTAACTCTTTGCTCTCTATCGCCTTTACCATGAGCAAACACATTGGTTTGTACTGTGTAAGGTTGTCCACTTCGATTTCCTAGGAACTCGAAATCAAGCTCGTCTCGTACAGAATTGGTATCTGAATTCATCTGCACAAATTAGTTTTATATTATAACCAAACCTTTTTGAAATGCAGTAACACAAACTTGAAATATTTGTATATATAATTACGTAGAAGGCAGCGACAGTTCCGGCTGAATCACCGGGAATCAGTTTGATTTTCATGCTCACGCGGCCGAACAAGTATTGCTTTTTCGAAGCAAATCCACATCCTAAACCAATGTTTATGAAAATAAATAAAGTATATGAATGCAAAATGGATATTATCTTTGAAATGTAATTTAGTAGAAGAAGGTATGTAAGAACCTGAGCTAGGGTCCAATTTAAGCTGAATGGCTCTTCCGCCATCAATTTGAGTGATATGAGTATCGGACCATGCGATCCTAAAGTCATCTTCAAACTTAGCCGGTCTACTCGAAACCGGCCGGTACAGTGCTGCAAATAAGCATAAGCTAATCGTAAAGAAAACATTTCTTGAAGAAAAGAGTGACACCACCATTGTTGCTTATGATGATGAGTTTGTTTTTGAAATTAGAAGATCGAAGTCATATTTATATAGAGACGCATGCAGGCAAATGTATGTACAATTCAATTATTGAGGAAGGTCTCATTTAGAGCTTAGATTTTCAGTACAGCTAATCACTGATCGATTTGTCACAATGATTTTGGACCCACCACTTTTCTATTATTGTTTTTATTATTCACTGAATATATCTTGTTTTTTTTTCCCAAATCTTACTGTTCTTTCACTCTTTTTTTGTTATTAGAATTCAATTTTATTCTTTGTACTATCTCCTACAACTATTCACATTATTATTGTGATAAAGTTAAAATATTAATTAAATATTTGCTTGGCTCTCAGCCTCACAATGAGAAGCATAGGAATTTCCCAGTGTAGCATAACTGAAAGGCGTGGTGAGATCTCATTGGGACACGTGTCGTCATTACACTACTCTGCTATAACTCGCAAATCTGATACGATCGTCGTATCTTTAGATTCTTCTTAGATTTTCTTTTTTTTTGTCGCCACACGATCCTTTCTTAGATTATATTTTTCTTAAATAAATATGAATATTCGTTTATTATATACAAAGAGGTTTCATTAGGCATAAACAGTTTATTTTGTTCCCATGCGAGATGATAAATTCGACTCCTAATTTTAATTGTTTATTTTTACATATTTTGGTTGTTTTTTTTCCAAGCAATTATACATTATTGCTTTAATCAATGAGAGTGAGTGTGAAGTATTTATGATTGTGCATGAACATTCTAATATGAAATTTTTTAAAAAAATGAAAGTTGTTAAATGTGGAGAGGCGTGAGAGTAGGGATGTGTCTATGTTTAATTCATGAATATTAGCTTTCATTTCCTTATCCACACCACACAAGTCGTGCTCGATGAATAGTTCATATCCCCATCTTCATTTATGTCATTTCTCACTCAGTATTAGTCCCAGCTAGAAAACATCGTTAAGAAAACCAAAGATTCTATGAGGCAATTTCGCATTCTAGTGTCATTTGTAGTACAATAATATTTGATTGGCTAATTCCTCGACTTTTGCAATTTTTAATTGGCATGATTAAACTTACACATTTCGCTTGATGCAATATTAATTTGGTTATGTTAAGCTACCATGTCTAACAATGTAAATACACCCTGGAATTTTTGCATGAAAACAATTGTTATCAAAACAATTAAGTCTAGTTAATTTAGAAGGACACACAACATTGGACAAACCCACATGCAACTAAGAACTATGGTCTATGGATAAGAAATTGACGGACTCCATAAATTTCATGAAACAAAGCTCTATTTGACTCAAATTTAATGTCATGTCTTTGAATTACTTTAACTTTCGCATATATTTTATTTAATATGATACCTACCTTTTTCATCCCTTTGCCACCTTTTCCTTGTCGTATTTGTTTAAAATAGTGTAACATAACACGGCCGACAATAAAATGATTGGAGCTTCACGGGAAAAAAAAATTAATTTTCTATTTTTCCAGATAACAGAAAACACTGGTAATTTTCTTTTCAATAATAGTCGATTTGGTAAACATATTTTAAAGTTTTTTAAAATGATAATTTTATGCACCTAAAAACAAATTTTGTGGGATTGTATATAACTCTAATGTAACTGCTGAATCTATTGGGCCTTTAGAAATTGAGAATATGCCCATAATAGGCTTTTCGTATATGGGCTTTCTTCAACTTAATTATACAATCATGGGCCATACAGTGTGTGCCCAACAGAGACATATATCTTACATGATAACTTGAATTTAATTGATTTTTCTTTTTGTTAAAGGGTTTGACTTAAATGAAGCTGCTAAAATTGTGATTGTTGCACAAGGAATATGCAGCCCACGACAAATGTGCTTAGTATCGTTCATGATGTTGTGAATAAAATTAACTATGAAGAAACCACATCTTTCAAAAACATTTAAAAAAAAACATATTTTTTTTTTCCAAATTGAAGTATTTGAAATATCATAAAGACTTACAAAATGGGTTCATACATTTTTGCTTGTGTCAAATTAAAGAAAATTGTTTAACAGCGGTTAACTGGACATAGCCATTGAGCATATAATTGATTTAATCATTGGAAAAAGAAATTGGGAAGAGTGAGCGAAACGTGTTGACACAGTTCTATATGAATATTTTAAATAACATATATGACCCATAATTTACACATATATATAAGTTTTTGGTTAGAAGAATACGAAAAGGCAAAGAGGCACGGTATTGGTCAGTCAGGTGAAGTAGGGTCCCTTCTACTGCTCCAGTCAGTCTATTACCACAAGAAACCGCAGAAACCAGAACTCAAAAAGCAACTTACATTTTAAAAACAATTGTGAGAAATAAAATTCTTTAAGATAAAAAGTATTTTAGCAATAATAAAAATATAAAAATTGGAGCAGCTGTGATTGCTGATTGGAACGTCAGATTTTTTTTTTTTGTATTAACAAAGGAAAGAAGTAAATTCGTTCTATTTTTTTTTTTGTTTGTGTGTATTATATTGTCACTTTTTTAAAAAAGAAAAAATATATTCTATCAATATTGTCGTCTTCAAAACTTTGATTTTATTTTTAGCTTTCGGCTTTAAGTATTTAACATTATAACTGTTCTTTTTACGTTAAAATTAATTATTCATCCTGCTCTTTTGTACCTACGTAATTTCCTTTTCACCTGATTCTTGTTTTATTCGACTCTTTGTAGTCTTGTAGACATACGTATCAACTATCAATCAATACATACATACACGTTAATAGAATCTGACTACCGTTAATTATTCATCATATTATTTCAAAAAAAAAAAAAAAAAAAAAAAATTAAATTACCTTGTATTTATATACCATAATTATGGAGGTCCCGACATATTTTTGTTTGTTTCTTATTCAAATACTGACTCTGTAATAGTTTAATAAATACTACAAATCTTTGATGATGTGATGATACAAAAAAAGTATGTATAATACTTACCAAAAAAAAAAAAAAAGTATGTATAATAATATTTATAAAAAGACATTATTATTTATGTCAACTCATGGAGTATATATAAAACGATTACGTGTATAAATATGATATATCCATGCGTGTAGTACTCTTTAGGAAAAAAATTTTTGCCCTTCATAGGGTAGTCACTTTCCTTTTTCTTCTTTACTTACAAATCTTTCTTCCTCTACACATCAAAACGCAAAGAGAGAGACAGAATAGAAGTGAGAGAGAGAGAGAGTCTAATTGTTTCTCCTGTAAACTGCAAACCGATCTTGTGTCTGAAAATGGTGTGGAGCAGCAAAATGTCAAGCTTTCTACTGATTTTGCTCATTCTTAATTCGACCCATTTCAGTCTAATGGCTAATGGTAAGTAAATGGGTCAATGTCACATTTCCTTATTTTCTAACAAAAATTTTTCATATTCTTATTCGTTTACTTCTTATGACATTTTTCAGGTAGACCAGAGCCAAACTCAGTCGAATTCACCAAGGTACACTTTTTTTGAACTTCCTCTGTTCTTTTTTTTTTGCTCTCTACTAAACAAGAATCAAACTGAACTTAAAAAGTCTTTGATTTGGAACAGAGTGGAGATCAAGATGAGAAGATGATGATGAGAGGTCTAATAGGATCAAGACCACCAAGATGTGAGAGAGTGAGATGTCGTTCTTGTGGTCATTGTGAAGCAATTCAAGTTCCTACAAATCCTCAAACAAAGCTTCACTCTCCTTTTACCACTTCTTCTTCCTCTGAGATTATTCATCTTGATTACACTAGAGGAGATGATAGTACTAATTACAAACCCATGAGCTGGAAATGCAAATGTGGTAACTCTATCTACAACCCTTGAAGAACATTTCTTTGCTCTTTTTACAATTTTTTTCTTTTTCTTTTTGGGTTAAATTTCTAAATTCTCTGTGTACATATTTATAATTTTGTTGTTTTTTTTTCTCGGGTCAAACATATTTTAGTTGTAATCTTCAGATTTTATGGTAATTCTGTGTGGCTGATTATGTTATTGTTGTTTATTGTAGTGTAGTTAACAAAAAAAACAGAGATGAATAAAAATTTGCTTTATCCAAAATGATTTGTTATAATGTTATTAGTTATTACTAATTGTTAAAGTAAAAATCTTTTAGACACGCATCGTAAACAGAACGCACGGAAACCTATTTTCAAGACGATTTCTGACAAATACCAATTTTATGGATGAAAGTTACATCACACACGTACGTATGCATCTACATACATATATATGTGAAATTTATGTATGAAAATATTTGTTGGTTTAATAGAGAGACAAAGATACGTTTGATACATAAATCCATTAGCCGATAGACAAAAATTCAGCCGCTTTGCTGTCGTTTCTTCGAACGTCGCCGTTTTCATTCACATTGGATTTTGGGTTGTACTTATTTTTTTTATAAATGATTAATTTAATTAGTGACCACTGGTGATTTTCTGTGTCCTAGTACTTGTTTCAGTAGAGTTCTTTTTGGGATTTATTAGTTATATATTTTTAAAAATTTGATAAAACAGCAAGAAAAATCATAACCAAATCTGTACTACTTTGAATTGATATAATCGTACTGAAACCATCGTCCATATTTCAATTATTTTCCAAAGCGAAAATTTCAAAGAAACAGTAAAACCTGGGCCATGGTAAAAAAAAAACAATTTTACTGTACATGTAGAATGATATGATATATCATATATGTAAAGAGTATAACCTAGAAAATGTAATATTACCAAATGATGATAGTATAGCAATCAAATCATCAAGATATCTACTTAAAGCTAGAGATCAATTTCTACTTAAAGCATTGTTTTCATTTTAACTCAGATTTAACATTTGGAATATAAACTTGTCGAAATTAATAAGAGATTGGACAAAGCCTATTCATAGAGAAAATTGAAGAGTGTGAGAGTTGATGGGATTGAACATATGGAAAGAGAGGAAGGGAAGTGACAAAACAAAAGAAGAGAAGATGTGTCTTTGTGTGGGGTTTACTAATTTCACAAATCAAGCAAAGCAAACAGTCTTGATTCTCTACACTGTTCTTCCTTTGAATGACTTTACTATTTATTTTTGTTTTCATTTCATTTATTACTTTAATAATGCAACCCAAATATAGTTGAATAATAATTAAAAAAAATACATATTTGGAATTTGGTGGAGACTCAAGTGTCAATCAAAGTCGGTACACTGCCACCATGCTACTGCTTGAACTAATCTTCTCAATGACAACGCCGCTCCGAATATTTTATTAATATCTTCTATATGATTCTCTACATATCTAACTTATATACTATACTACACATTATGCTAATATCCAAAGGTCGATGGAAAATTCTGTTGTACTTATACAAGACTCATTCCAAAAACATATCATAACTTTTCAGTATTTGTATTGTCAGCTAGTTTGCGATCTGCTAGAGTCTCAAAATCGTAGTTAAAAAGAGTGGTTTTATCGTAATTTCGTCTTGATTTTGGTATTCCGAAGGTGGAGCATTTTACCATTGTTAATCCTTCATCAAAACTTCTTAGTCACGAATACTTTGAGTTTGTGATGAATTTTTGTGCCATTCAGATATTTTAATACTATATGTGTAAACAGATCTCAAAACACTATTATTTCGCTAAAAAAAGTTTTTGAAATTGGGAAAAATGCATTTTGTTTGGAGACTATTGATTGCACATTGTATCACGATCGAGAAAACCATTAAAAGCAAAGTGACAAAATGAAAAGACTCAAAATAAGAAACAACAAAGAAGGAAGAAAAATGAGAGTTCCAAAGCAAAAATACTTTGGCCATTCCGATCTCTTTTTTGTTTCTGCTTCTTACCGTTTACTTAACTGTTTTCGATCTCTTCTCTGTTGCATCACTTCCTTGGAACTATGGAAACATTTTTGAAAATAAGTATTAAGACCAAAGAAAATAATAATAAAAAGGTTTAGAGATTTATGCATTGGAGAGAAATCGTTAAAGCACAGAGTTGACAAGGTACAGTCACGTGGAAGCATTTTGGACATATCGATAATAATCTCTTTCTTTGTATCAATGATCTTATTTGACGTCAATTGCTCCATACCTCATTCATTGTTCTTGTACGACACAGGCCTTTGTTCATAATAATATATGAGATGGTTAATATATATATCTTGTTTCAATACTCAAAAAGAAATATGATTAATCGTCAACCTTATCACATCATTACATAAAAGCTAGACACATTTTCAAGTCTTGTGGTTTTTCTAAAAAATTACCGTGTTACTATATCTAGATTTATATATAGTTTAAATATTGATATTTTTTTCCGGGGAAAAAACTGATATTTGTATACTTATATTTAGAATAAATGCAGAGAATAGTTATTTTCAAAGAGTTGAAGACAAAACTTACAAGGACAAAAAGGGGATCGAGGAGATTCCAGTGGTCCAGTATTGATTTTGGATAGTGAATATGAATATGTATGCACACGCAATATATAGCCAATACATCTCAAAAAGTCTCTTTTTTGTTTTTGTCAACATCTCAAATGTTTTATGCACCAATACTCCAAAATTCTCGAGTCTACGTTATTAGTGGATACATCTGTGGTTAATTACACATGTAACATACACACATACCGTGATGATACATGGAATTTATGGTATAACCACCGCCATGACATTTGTACCATTATACCATCAAAAATCAAACTCATGGATCATATATGTCCAACAATATGATCATTTTAGATTGGTCTATCTACAATTATATGTATGAAAAGTACGTGGTACTCGATGAGTACGTACATTGTTTAAAGCTTACACGGGATGGGAATTTTGAAAGAGCTATGATGGGTTCTTAAATTCGTTGAAAGCTTACAATAGATGAAGCAAAGAAAACCTGCATGCCGATATAGTACGTACTATAATAACACTATATGAAAAATCATTTAGGCTTTAATAAACTATTCGTATAAATAATTTGTTTAGGTTGATGAAATTGCAAATGTTTTTTTTTTGACTATAAAATCTTTATTTTTAGGTGTCCATTGTACTTTTGTGCAAATTAATCCATTTTAAACAAATCGATAATAATGGTTTTGTTTTTATAATAACAAATCCGCAAATTGTTTTCGGCATAATGTTGGAGATCCGTTTTATCCTAGAATTAGCCGGATAATATAGCATAAACACAATATGATGCAAAATTCAAAATAAACGAAATAATCAAAATAATCCACCCGTATAAAAATTCTACCTTTGCGTGGGTGGAGGAATTTAGGTCATCGTTAGGGCACTTTCATGGGGACCATTTACGCCTTAACGAAGGCTCATTACACACAAACGTCAATGCGGGCTGAAACTTGCAGTGCAATCCGGTCTGGTCCTTTAATTTATGGGTTAGGGTTAAAAGTTTTTAATCTATCTATTAAATGAGATGGACACAAAAATTTACCCACCATACAAAATATACACAAAATGTAAAATTAACTAAAATATCCAAAAAAATGATGAAAATGTTACAAATCATCATATAGATCAATATCCAACACTAGCTAGGCATCACAGGGTTACAATGCATTACCGAAAAATTTATACGAGACCTATACAATGTCTACAAGACTCGAGTACATGTTGTAAATCCGACGTCGTTTTGTAGTCAATAAAAAAAAAAAGATCTTAAAGGTGCGATGTCGTTTGAAGTCATCGGAGAAAAAGACTAAAGGAACAACGTCGTTTGGAAGTCAGCGGAAAAGAAAAGAAGTATGAAACGAAGTCGTTTTGAAGTCATCTCTGCAGATAGATATGAATGCTGTAATTAAAATATTCCCAAGTGGAATTAGTTTGCAATTGAAGGATACACGATTTGATTTTTAGTGGCAATTCCTTTTAATTTCACAAGAACTCTACTCTTCTTCTCCAGATCCAGATCCAAAAACTCACTCTCTGCCTCTTTGCTTTGAATCAGAACTTGTATTTGGCAAATTCAACTTCTTCCAGGTAATGTTCCATTCCTAGGAATAACTAACTAGTGGCGATTATTTGAATTACACAAATTTGGAATTTTTTAGATAAATTTTTCCGATTCTTTGAGCTCTTGATTGATGATCTTTGGGTTATTTTGATTGGAATTAGGTTTGATTTTGGAAGTAGAGAGGTTAGAAGAAGAATGGTGAGAACGCCACGAAGAGGGCAGAGATCAAAGGGAATTAAAGTGAAGCATTGTATTCAATTGACTCTGTTGCTTGGTGTTGGGATATGGCTGATTTATCAAATGAAGCATTCACATGAGAAGAAATCTGAGTTTGAAGAGAGTTCAAAGATTGTTGTTGATGATCATCAAGTGGTTAATCTTGCTAGGAAAGATCTTAAACCGCCGCGTATTGAGGAGTCGAAAGAGGAAGAAGGGAGCAAGAATGGAGGAGGAGAATCTGGTGCTGATATGGAGAATGGCGATGAGATTGTAGAGAGGGAGGAGGAGAAACCGGTACAAGAGAATAACGACAAGGAAATTGAAGGTGGAGAAAGTGAGAAGGTGGTTGATGAGATAAGTAATGAGGAAGCTAGGGAGATCAATTACAAAGGAGATGATGCGTCGAGTGAGGTAGTGCATGGGACGGAGGAGAAGAGCAATGGAAAGGTTGAACTTGAGGAAGAGAGGAAATCGAACAGTACTGAGAATGTCAATTTTCATGAAGATGAGTCGGGTCCAAAGAATGAAGTATTATTGGAGGGTTCTGTTATTAAACAAGTTTCTTCAAACGAAACTGAGAATGGGGATGTTGGTAGTGATGCTGGTGAGCAACAAGAGACAAAGAGTGAGTCGGATTCAAAGACTGGTGAGAAGGGGTTTTCTGATTCTAATGGTGAATTGCCTGAGACTAACCAGTCAACTTCCAATGCAACTGAAACTACAGAATCTTCTGGGAGTGATGAGTCGGGATCGAGTGGGAAATCTACTGGTTATCAACAAACGAGAAACGAAGAAGATGAGAAGGTACAATCTTCTGAAGAGGAAAGCAAAATCAAAGAACCCGAGAAAAAGGAGAAAGAAGACTCTTCATCTCAAGAGGAAACTAAAAAGGAAGAATCCGAGAGAAAGGAGAAAGAAGATTTCTCGTCCCAAGCTGAAAGTAAAGAGGAAGAACTCGAGGATCAGAAAAAAGAAGAGTCTTCCTCTCAAGTGGAGAATGAAATCAAAGTTACCGAGAGAAAGGAGAAAGAAGAGTCTTCGTCCCAAAAAGAGAATGAGAACAAAGAAACCGAAAAAGTGTCTTCGGAATCTCAGGAAAAGGAAAACACTATCAGTGAGCAGAAAATCGAACAGGTGGAATCTACTGGTTCAGATTCTGATATAAAGAAAACAGAGGATGATACTTCAAAAACAGAGCCGGAGAAAGAGGAAATCAACAAAAGTGGTGAAACAGAGGAAACTCAAAACGATCAAGAACAGAGCAAGTCCACTTTGGATAATAGTCTCACTCAAGATGTTAAGGATGCTCGAACTGATCTAGAAGCTCTTCCTGAAACCAGCAATGGATTGACCAGCGACAAAGTTGCTGCTGAGTGATGTTTCTTAAACAAGTGAAGTTGTCATGTATTGTATGCATATTCTATATACTTTTCATCAAATGACGGGACTAAGTCCCAATCAGTAGTATTGAGTTTTTCATAGTAATCAATATATGTATACTCTTTCTTATCTCAGTCTCTTAAAATTAAGGAAGTTCCTTTTTATTGAGAATGAATCACAAGAGATTTGAAGGAAACATAAGTCTTGGACAAAAACCAAGCAAAGTTTGAACTCTTATTTCCCAACAAAAGAAAGGAGAGTAGCAAATCATTACAGAAGTTAAGAACAAATACGGTAAAGCATTTTAGCCTTTCAAATAAACCAAGAAGACGTTATTGTGAACACGCAAGACTCAGTGCCCTTCGTTGTGCTTCACCTCAAACAGACCATCTGGACCTGAGAATGGCAAATAGAAAGTATCAGATTCAGAAACCAACCCGTTATAGATTTGGAAAACGAAGTTACTGATAATTTTTGATGATCTCGAAAGGTTTTTAGGAGTTACAACTAAACAGCATTACAAAGCTGAAGATCACGAAATGAAAAAGGGCAAGATGGAAGATAGAAAAACTGGAAAAGTACACATACCCCAAGGAAACTCCTTGTTGCGGATGTGCATATACGGATAGGCCTGTAACAAGTAGACAATTGACAATTTCAGGCAATGTATGCTTAATCTTACAAAGCAGAGTGAATATAAGCCAAATCAGTAAAAGGCGAAAAGGTAGCTTTCGTAACATTCTCATCATCTGCATACTTATTTCCGTTTTCACTGGTGATATGAACATTGCCTCTCACTAGGTAAGGAAAGTTTGAGACTCCAAATCAAAAAGCCAATGTACTAAACCAATGGAGGTGTTGTAAGAGAAGCTTACCGGAGGGTCTTCGCCGTGATGATGGCCCTTGGATAAAACATAGACGGCTAAAGCAGTGCAACTAGCAATACCCAAATAAGTTATCTTCTCCCACTTCGCAGCTTCATCTGTAAAATATTAAAGAGGACAAAAACTTTGATGAATAATCAAAATTTATAATGTACCAAGAAAAAAAAAAAATCGATCCTTTTGACAGAGAAATGTTGTAGAATTGATCCAATAAGGCGCGTTCAGATATTCTGATGAAAAATCAAATTCAAATTTGACTAATCGATCTACCAAATCAATTCAAAATTTAACAGAATTAGGTATCGGAATTGTTGGTTCAAAAATTGGAATTCGTGTGAAATCATACTGAATCTCAAAACCAATTTACGAATCTATAAACTCATTGACTAAATCTCAAAAATGAAATCAGAAAACCTAGATCGTCATTGAAATTGGTAATAGTAGAGATAGAGAGGAGAGAAATTACAAGCATCGTCATGGCCGGCGGAAGAAGAAAAGTTTCGCTTAGGAGCGACGGATGTTCTCGGAGCAACGCGGATCGCTGCTCGGGAAAGAGCTGAACGTACAATCGCCGTAGCCATTTTCCGGGATCTTCTTCTTCTTCTTCTCTGAAAGTGTTGAGACTCTGTGGAACAGATGTTGAAAGGGTTATGTGACTCACTCTAATCAGGCGTCGTTGAATCTTAACCCAAGCTTAATGGGCCTTTCCTTAATTCTGGGCTATCTTAGCCCATCATTGTTTTTATCTCTTAACAATAATTTTCTTATGTACATTCACTTTCAATTTTTTTTTTTCTTTCTAAAAACTAAAATAAATTTGGAAATTTTATTTTATTTAATAATTGAGGGGGATTTATCCCCCTTTCCCTACCAAAAAAAAATGTCTAGTTAATAAAAAATTGTTTATTTTTTGTAATTCTAACTTAATTTGTGGAAGTCTCCTTGGCCCATTGGTTGACCAAGGGTTAATTAATGCTTCTACACCAAGAGGTCTAGGGTTCGAGTCCCAGATATTACGATTTATTAATAAATTTGCAGATTAAAGGAGGCAAGTGTGCATGAGATCTCCAGCGAAGTAAAATTATAGCCGTTCGCCAGGATTCTACGCAGAGAGAGAAGTGTCGTTGGTCGTGGATCATTGAAGGTGTCCGTCAAGAGCATGGAGAAGGAAGTGTCGTCTGTCGTGGATCTAATAAGGGTCGGAAGGAATTGTCCATTGTAGAATCGTCTATGTAACAGTTCTCATAATTTACAATAAATAATAAATCTAGACGTCAAAAAAAAAAAAAAAAACTTAATTTTTTAATTAAATAAACATGATAAAATAAAATTAAGTTCTTATTTGATTGTAAGAAACACAAAAAGAATACTTACCAAAAAAAAGAAACACAAAAAGAATCATCATCGTCACTGGCTTTCAGATTCTTGTTGGCCGCCGTCTCCACATGCCGCAAGGAAGAGAGCTCCGGCAGCAGATCCACCGTGAGAATGCTCAATGACAACGTGATCTGATAACTCATCACCGAGCATTTCCCAAACGCTGCTATGAAGATAGTTTCTAAAGACTCTATAATGATCATACAATCCTCCTTCAACTATCACAATGCTCATTTTCTTCTCTAACCTTCCCAGCTTCTTTATCATCCCAACTATTCCTGCTCCCGCCGTGCGAGCCGCTCGTTCCGCGACTACATCGCATACTTCAATTACCACTTCTCTCGCCGCAAGAGTTGAATCCATGATCTACAGGGTTCACACAAGATATTCAAGATTTTTTTGTTTTTAACTCAAATCAAAATTTCTAAATTGAAAAGCGAATGAGTCTCTATGAAGCTTACTCCGAAAACCTCCTTGAGCTTTTTGTTTACAATCTCCCGTTCTTCGGATATATCTTGATGCATTGCAGCCATATCTGGCGACCTAAAACACGCTCCAAAAATCACAGTTTAGTTCTTGGGATCTAGTTTCATATCGAAGTCTAAAAGAAGTATACATATATAGTTAAGGTACCATAAAATGTAAGGAATTGTGAGTTTTGGAGGCAGTGTATCTCCAAAGAGAGCAGATTCTTCAGACATTCTAAGTAACACTCTTCTTACTATCTCCCCTAAGTATCTTCCAGACACCATCTTCTCAAATACCTTAAAACAGAGAAGAAAAAAAAAATCTCAAAACACACTAAAAATGATCTGAAAAACTCAGAGATAACTAATCGGTATGCGTTCTTACTCGATGTCCAGGATTCAAGCTTTCTGCATCAAGAGAAGCATCAAACTCAGTTATAGGAAGATGACAAGATCTGAAATCTCCCCATTCTGTGCTAACAACCTACAATCTTATCATGTACAATCACTTGATATCACAACTATGAAAAGCTATTTGATATTGGATTAAATGTGTTGAAAGTATCTTAACATACGATCTCTTGTGGCTCGAATATTGCGGATTTCCACCTCGATATCTCTTGAGCTTGTTCAATGTAAGCAGCATTAGTTCCCAGACCTAATGATACTGCAGCCACAGTGTCCTTGTGATAATACCTTCCTCCAGCCAACTCTCCTATTGTATTATCCACCTGATTTCAAAAACAAGATTCTCAAAAGATCATTAAAACTTCTAGCATAATATATCTTCATGGCGGATCATCTTTAGGCCCGCTTACCAGCGCTGTGTTCATCCGAATTTTCAGACCGTGTCTTTCCAATGATTCATTCATGTCATTCACCAAATCTTTCAAAACCTTATCATCATCATCATTTGCTAAACTCTTCCTATGTATAGCCGAGATTGAACCTGACCCAATCTGCTCAACAGAGCGCGTCAATGTAAACCCGAGGTTATTCACTTCCTCTGCTTCTTCACCAGGATTCATCGCAAGAAATTTAACAAGCTCCAATGATATGAAATCGCAAAGCTCCTGAGTCCAAAAAACTTCAGCTTCAAGTAAACCTAACGTGTAATTCAAGAAATCGTGTATCTATCTATATTCATACCTTGAATGAACCATTTAAAACATCTTCAGGGATCGGAATCTCCTGCTTATGTACGTCAGAAATAGGCTCTTCATTACCTCCTAACGTCCCACGTAACAGTAAAAGTTCCCTGCCTCTCAAGTTAACTCCATAGTGTACTCCTTTCTCATCACTACACGTAACACACTAAACACCGTTAATTAACTGTCATCTAATACTCTCTGTCTAAAACAGAGGATTCTGATTTACCCGGAAGGGAGTGAACCGGCGAATGAAACAAGCATGTTGAGAGAACCACAACACTCGGCGGTCGCAGCGGCTAAAGAGGCGGTCATGTCGGCGACCAAAGCGTCCGCCACCGCCCAGAGTTTCGAAACCGGCGTGGCGCATTCTCTAGCGAATTTTCTCAAAATTCTCTGCGTATGTTTCCGCCGCCGCTCTTTCCTCCGGATCCACCGACCCATTAGTACAACTGCTGCAACCGCCGTAACCGTTGCAGCCGTCACGGCCAGAACAACCTCTTTCCTAGTCATTTTTACTACAGAGTTTTTTTTTTTTCCCCGATCTCTGATTAACACAGTAACAATTTCAAAGAAAATAAGATGCGTTCTCTTGTTAGCTTGTTTTGCGTATCAGGTTGAATCATTCAACCTATTTTTTTCTTTCACTAAACCGGATAACTCGGTTTAGACAAAAATTTATTTTGGGTTACGTGTAAGGAATTTGTTTTGGTTTGATTTTGGTGTGGAGGGAAATATGGTTGGTTGATAAATTTAGAGCAAATTGGCCCTATAATTGATGGATTCGCTGTAGACGTGCTATGGTTTTGATAGCACTCTTATCCTAACCAAAAGAAGACTTCAAAACTCTGTTTCGTTGATCCTTAAGAACAGAGAAAGAATACATTGTCAAGTCTCACTAAAGTGTAACAACAAACAAACAAATGTCATTGCCTAATAAAGAAAACAGAAAACTCTTTCCTTGCGTAGAGTTCTATAATTAATCTGATCACTTGATTATTAACAAGATCAGAAACGTAGATTCGATCTCTAACCCTAAACCACAATTCTTCTTAATGGCTTAGCTTCTGCTTCTTGATCTGCTTTCTCACTCTTTCTTCTTCCTCTATCAACCGCAGTTGTTCCGCGTCTTCTTTCTTCGCAAGTTTCTCACTGTATCAAACAACAAACAAACATGACCGTTTAGGTTTCCCGGGAAGATTCTTAAAACATCTTCTACTTGTTGTAAATTGTAAAACATGTAAATAAAGAATAACATACCTTCGTTTCTCTTCCCTCATGATATCATCAAAGTTAGCTTCCATGCACCTATCATCATAGTCTTCGTCGAGATCACGCCCCGCAAAACGATCAGTCTTGCACATCTGTCTAACCATTTGCAAGGCCGCCAAATCATCTTCTGACATTTTCACTGGCTTCTTCTTCTTCTTCTTCTTCAGTTGAAGAGCTCGCTTCAATGGTGGTTCGCTAATCGACTGGTGTTTGGCAGGAGGCAGTTGCGACCTTGTGAGTTCCAAGGAAACATTCCTCTGTTTTACCCTTTGTTGTTTAGGATCATATGTCAAAGGCTTTGATGAGGACAGTTGTCTCTGAGGCCCTAATTTAGAACTTGGTTGGCCATTCTTGCTAATCGATTTCTGCTTTCGAGAGTACTTTCTTGCAGAATCCCCGCTCATGTGCGCTTCAACATTAGTTGATGAACCTGGTCTTGGCAGCATTTGGCTGCCTGAAGAAGCCTGTTTTGAATGATTCATTTGGATTTCTCTGGAACTTGGTCTAAACTTAGGTGGTTGCTTGATGGAAACAGGAAGCTGAGCATCATCAGAGAAAAGGAAAGAGTAGTCTCTTGCATCCCTAAGTTTCTCAGCTTTTCTTTTCACCTAAGCAAGTAAAAAAGGGCATATTAGCAAAAGGTAAAAAAAAAAATCAACACAGAATTGTCAAACATCGATGAAGTTACCTCATTCGCATTAATTTGAACAGGACTTTTCTTCTGTACACAAGACACAAAACAGTTTCATCAGCCTTATATTATAAAGGAGTAAGAACAAAAAACACTTGCTAATATCAAAAATGTGAAAAGGAAGGATCTGAGACATACATTTTGAATCGAGTTTAACATTTTAGCAGCCGATGTCTTGTTTTCTAAAAGCGCTTTGCTTTCTTGTAAGACTCTTGAAGCAATAACAGTCTGAGAAGGACCAAAAAAGGAACCAAAGCTGCAAAAACAGAGTCAGAATATTCAATTCATGCTAATTAATTCTCTTACACACATAAAAATCAAAACTAGCAAATAAAACTTACTCGTTATAAGGAAGATTACTTTTGCTCTCATGTGTCTGTGATGTTGGAGCTATAATAGTGTTTCCGTTTTGCATCTTCTTCCTAATCGACTCTTTAATCCGTTGACGGAATTCAAGAAACTCTGATTTGTAAGATTGTATATTTCTTGGAAGATAAGTTGTCATAGTAATTAATGGCCTGCAATTAAAAGATCTTTAATTCAATATGTGTATTCATATAAGACATCGTCGCAGATCTACAAGAAGCAATGTAAAAAGAATTCGATCTGCTTCAAGAAAAACCACAAAATTAGGGTTTCTGCGTCATATCAAAATCAAGTTCACAAAACGTTACCATAACTAGGGTTCGGGTTCTGTTTCCAGTACAATCAGGCTCTAATGCCAATTCCCAAACCAAACTAAGGTAAAGTTTCTACGAGACATGCCCTAAGATAACTTACGATTCAAGTTACTCAAAATCTCTAACTAGATCCTTGTTAAGAGGATGTGACATTGAAATTGACAGAAACCTTTGGAGAAAAGAAAGATAACTTACGTTGAGAAACGAAGTCACACGAAATCTGGTTTCAGTCTGAAGCTTTGCTTTGGAGGACTTTAATGGACAGAGCAAGCAATACAGAAAGACGTTGAGGCACTGAAGCTTTTATAGGCAGATAGAATTTTCCTTTTTTTACATATTTCCTTCTTTTTTTTAACGACCATAATTATCATTTACTTTGTAATGATGACCATAAAGATTTAATATTGTGATAAAATAAATTATTAAGTTTCCTATCCATTTAGAAAACCATCATCAAATTGGACCAGAATTCATATTATTCGTACTTGGTTCTATCATGTAAATGCTGGCAAAAGCCCAACAAAAATAAATGACAATAAATAACAACAATCAAATTACATATGTCTTCTGGTCATCATATTCATATCCACCACATTTGGAACATCAAGTTCTCTCCATTCTCCAGAGAGATACACAACAAAAACACAAGTCTTATTTTATTCTTCTGAATAAATAATAGATCTTTTCTTTTCGACAACATCATCCATCATAGTTTGGTTTTTCTAAAAGATAGGACCAGCAGCGAGAATCTCCTCCGTAAGCTTACCATCCACACCAATCTTATGGTTAGCAAAAACCTCAAAGTTCTTCTTGAACAAACCTCCCAGTTTCACCAGAGTTTCCTTGTGTGCCTTCTTATCAGACCACTGCATTTTCATAAAACCCAAATCAACAAAATTGTTCATCATCACTCAGGATCCCAAAAAAGAGGGATTTTGCAGACACTTACGGCGTTGATGGGGTCCAAGATCTCTGAAGGTATCCCTTCAATCTCAGTTGGGATTTCAAATCCAAAGATTTCAGTTTTCTTGTAGTTCGCCTTCAACAGGCTGCCTGAATGGATTGCATCGATGATCTTTCTAGTGTATGCCAGCTTGATTCTGTTTCCAACACCATAACTGCAGAAAAGAAAATGTTACAGATCATGTTTATAGCCTACAAGCACGCGTAACAAGACAGAATTTGACTGTATCGGTTTCCATAGAAGGACATACCTGCCACCGGACCAACCAGTGTTCACAAGCCAACCAGTAGCACCTTGTGTCTTCATCTTCTCAGCTAACATAGCTGCATACTTTGTCGGATGCAACATTATGAAAGCTGCACCAAAGCAAGCTGAGAATGTTGCTGTTGGCTCCTTGATGCCATCCTCTGTGCCAGCGACCTATATATGTTGCACATCTTTGGTTAAGGTTTTGAAATTTATGAATATTGATCCAAAGGAAAAATTGAGACTTCTCTTCAAGCATACCAGAGCAGTGTAACCACTTATGAAGTGGTACATGGTTTGTGCCAGATTCAGCTTGCTCACAGGTGGGAGAACACCAAAGGCATCACAAGCCAGAAGTATCACATTTGTCGGGTGTGGACCAACACAAGGTATTTTCGCATTTGGAATGAACTCGATCGGGTACGCAGCACGTGTGTTCTCTGCAGCCAAGGAGAATCGAAAATTATCATTCTGTTAATTGTAATGAAGAACAGGGACGAAAGGAATAACAATTGTTTTTACCTGTAACGGATTTATCAGAGTAATCCACTTCTCTGGTGTGCTCATCAAACACAACATTTTCCAAAACTGCAACGACATCAGAATCATATTGTTATATCACTGATTTGATGTTTTTTTTCTCAAAAACAATTCCAATATGTTGTCTTTTTACCTGTTCCAAACTTGATGGCGTTCCAGATATCAGGCTCCTTCTCCCTCGAAAGATCAACACACTTAGCATAGCATCCACCCTCAATGTTCGAAACACCAGTCTCAGTCCAACAATGCTCATCATCTCCAATAAGATACCTGTTGTGATCAGTAGACAGCGTTGTCTTCCCAGTACCTAAAATCAACATTCATAGAAAACAAAAAAACAATCATCAATCTGAATTCACACGCCTCATTTCAACAAAGAGGGTTCTAAAGTCACTTCAGGAGTAATTTTGTGTAGTATCATCTGATTTATCGTTCCTTCCATCATCACCAAAACATGGTGTTTGGTGATGAGACTACAATACCTGAAAGTCCAAAGAAGAGAGCAACATCTCCATCTTTTCCCATGTTGCATCCAGAATGAAGGGAGAGAATCCGACGCTTAGGCATAAGGTAATGCATCACACTGAAAAGACCCTTCTTCATTTCCCCGGCATACTGAGTACCAAGAATAACCATTTCCCTCCTAGCCAGATTAAGGTCTACGCTAGTGGACGAAGTCATGTAATGAGTGTAACGGTTACACGGAAACTGTCCAGCATTGTATATAGTGAAATCCGGAGTACCAAAGCTCTCAAGCTCCTCCTGAGTTGGTCGGATACACCTACCACCCCCCTCACCAGTTACTAATTTGTTGTTTTCTTTCACCCAAAACCCAAAGGGTACAATAATGTATTAAAATTGTAACAATGGTTTTACTTACATGTTGTGCATAAACAGTGAATGATAAGCTCTAGCTGAGACAATCCTGACTTTGATTCTGTTCTCTGGATCCCAGTTTAAGTATTGATCATTGACAAAGACCTATAACCCCAACAACAACAGAAATTTCATAACTTAGATCCAACTTGTACACTCACAACAATTGATTAAAGTTATCAAAAATTTATACCTTATCCAAGGAATTCAAGTAATCAACAGCTCTTTCTCTGTTCACCATGAAAGTATGTTCATCCATTTCGATATTCGGTGAACCCCTAAATCAAAATCAAACCAAATCAATAAACGAAAACAGAGCATAAACCCAAAAAACTCCATCAATCGAAATTGAGCTCAGGAATACTCACTTTCCCCACCAAAGCTCATCCTCAGTAGTCGCATCTCTAACAACACGCTTATCTCTCGGAGCACGACCAGTCTTAGCACCAGAAAGCGTCGCCAAAGCTCCATTAGAAGTGATAAACGAACCTTTCTCATACTTAATAGCTTGCTCGTAAAGCTCTACAACAACAAATCACAAACCAATCTATCAAATTCATCTGCAGAAAAATCGGATTCGGATTCGGATTTTAGTTGTTTTTTTCACCTGCAGGGGAAAGATTGTAGAGGACGTGTGTAAACTTCAAGGAGCTATCACTGACGGCACCAGTAGCCGGAGAAAAGATAGAATGATGTTGGCCGTGTGCGTACGCCGGAGTAGTTGAACCATCGGTCTTCTTCTCCGCCGGATCTCCTCTCACCACCTTTGGTCCTGAGTCTCTCGTTAACGAAGCTAACGATGCACTGTTTCATCATTATCAAAATTAGTTTCCACGTGTCATTTTATGCCACGTGTCATGTACATTAAATTATTATTTTCTGGTAATAGTCACTAAAGCGCATTAATTTGTCATTAAATTTCTAATCCAAAAATAAACAAAAACAAATTATATTGCCGAATTAAAGGAAGAAAGAGTTATTGAAAATTTTCAAGTTTAATGTACATATATCACGTCAGAAATATTTAATACTAATACCAAAACTCATTTAAAAAAAAAGATTTCTAGCTAAAAGACAATTCTTGAAAAAGAAAACAAAACTCCTGATTTTTTTTTTCTTCTTTTCCATGAAAATGATCGGACACGAAAACGCAATAATCTTCCTTAATTCGAGATAAATTATTTCATTAACGTATAAATAATAATCTACATATGTGAAGTAGTTATAAGGACCTGATAGATTGAAGCTGAATCTTCTGACGCTCCTCCTCGGAGACGGCGGCGAAAGCAGCGGCGGCGCCTTGGTTGATCGGAGTGGTAGGAGCAGAACGTTTCTTCTGTAACGAATGAAGCTCATCGATGGTCGTGGCATTCACCGTCGGACCACTATCGTCGTGGCAGATTCCGTTACCTCTCTTTGCTGCTCCGGTCGTTATCTTCGGCATCACCGGTCCTTTAGGGAAACTAAATCCTCCGTCACCGTTAGTAGCGTTTCCGTTACCGGCCGACATCTTTTCACCGTTTCCTACAAAAACAGAGTTACAAAGTTTGATTACACTCACGATCAATTCATTAACTCGTACTGAACTAAAATCCTCATCAACGTTACTTTTCTTACCGGAGGAAGAGAGATCAAGAACAAGAAGATTGAGAAAGATTAAAGAGATTAATGATCGGAGGAGAAGATCATTTAAGGTTTTCAGGGATGATACAAAATGATGCGAATGTGAAGAGAAGCGAAAGTGGGCTTTTTAAAGGTTAGATTTTTCTAACCATGGTTAATAATTAACCGTGAGAGTGTTAACCATGGTTAAGATCTATCTTCCTAGGAAGAGCCCTTTTTTTTTTTTCTTCTCTTAACATAACCGGTGGTCTGTCTGATAAAGATGACTATACCATTTATGATAGACCCCACACGATAATGTAAAGATAATTTTGTAATTTTTAAAGGAAAAATATTTATGTGAATTTTTTACGTGTTTTTTGTTTGAAAAACTCGATAGCTCGGCTACCTCTAGTGTTGAAATTCTCGTAGTTGGTATGAAATAATGAAATTCAACTTTTTATTTTTGGTAATCAAGGATAAGATTTGACTCTCTTTATTTTTCATTTTAACTAGTATTAAATCAAATTAAAAATTATTTATCTAAAATAGTTCAGATGGGAAATAAATCTTTAAAGAAATCAACGTGTTACAAGCGAGCAACTTGCCTATTTTATTCAACTTGATTAAAAGAAATCTGTAAGTTGCATTTTGGTAAACGATTTTACGATCTCCATCATATAATCTTTGCAAGTGTCACTTAAATCAAGTTGTTTGATGATGATATATACCACTTAATACCAAAAAAAAAACGAAGTTAACTTTCTATATGATAAAAAAATTATTGTCATACAACGGTAAATTGATTAATTAAACAAGAGATCATTTTCTGAATTAAAGAAGATTTTGCATCTTAATAGCCGTCGACAAAATTGAAAGAGAGCTAATATACTAATCATATAAGTTCGACTTGTAAATTGAAATTCGTTAGATCGTTAAGGAGAATATCGAAAACGATAGA